AGTAGTTATCATTTGAAAGCAGAAATCAATGGTGCGCTGAGTACTGGTTATGAATGGTAATTCAGAAAGTGATAAATCTCGAATATGATCTCCGTCTGACTAATTGACATAGAATTTGCGATGATCCCCTTGTACCATCTGATGTGATCCTTTGATGTCCCCACTGGGAGGTATTCCTACATGTTGGGTGCAGTGCTCGACAGACTCAAGAGTTACAGTTCCATCTCCAGGATGGTGCTTGGTAATCAGTGTGAAAATAAATCTTTGAAAGGAACTTTAATAAGTTGTATGTATAAGTTGGATTATTCCCTCCCTGCTATTATATATGTGATTATTTGCAATTATATGCGATTATTTGCGAGTATAAACAATAAAATGTGATTTTAAGATATAATATACGTGATTATATACATAAATGAATGCGATTATATGTGATTATATGCGATTATATGCTATTATATGCGATTATATGCTATTATATGCTATTATATACTAATGTTATATGTTATTTCATGCGATTATATGCGATTATGTGCGATTATTTGCAATTATATGTGATTATTTGCGAGTATAAACAATAAAATGTGATTTTACTAGATATGATATACGTGATTATATGCATAAATGAATGTGATTATATGCGATTATATACTATTATATGGGATTATATGCTATTATATGCTATTATAATCTATTATATACTAATGTAATATGTTATTTCATGCGATTATTTGCGATTATCGCTATATAATGGCTGTCACGTGTCAAGCTGTATGTGTTTGGACTGAAACAAGATCCAGGAACATTGACGATAAGACTAGAATTATTCCATATTAGGACATGCCTGACATCATGTGTCTAATCACGTGACAGGCTGTATACGTTAAGTTATAATGATAGAATAACTGTGTGGGTCACATGACCTGGGTTAAGCCATGAGTCATGATGTGAGATGACACTACACCACGTGAGATGAGAGCACTCCATGTGGCAGTATGTGAGGTGATGAGGCAGCACGTGAGATGAGTCACACCACGTGGTATGATTTATCCCCTGGTGCAAGCAATGTGACTTTGAAATTCCACTATCATCTTGCAACAGGTTGTTTCACCCCAATACATACAGCTTGTCACGTGATTAGTCACATGATGCTTCATCTGGGTAAAGACTGCTAAATTCAGAATCTGGGTCTTGTTACAGCTGTACTCTCACTCTACGTCAGCCTCATATATTGAATAACACTCCTACATTACATGCAATTTTTCAGACATGGAATTGCTTGCTCAAAGTGACCACCACACAATCAGCATTAATCAAATGATTCTTTGTGAATTGCCCCGGGGAAGTCAGTAGTCACCCTCACCCTCCGCCCCTCCGGGGCGGAGGGTGACATTACAAAATAAGATAACCACATATGAAACTACATGGTTAAGGGTTACTGAAAAAGTGTTCGTATCCCTTGTGACACTCCTTACACGTTGGATTTTCCCTATTACAAAATCCCCAATGAAAGATGATAATGACTGTTCAAAGTGTTTACCACCCAACCATAGTGATCAAATGATTCTTTGTCATTTACCATGGCGGAGTCAGTACAAGCAGAATACCCGTTCGATTGGATACACATGTCCACACTACTAGTCGATTTGATCATACTTTTAATCCCTGTGACTGAAGAATTCATATCACAGCTAGCTAGCATACATGATGAGATGATGAAATGCTATGAAAAGAACCAACTTCCGATAAATATGACGCCAGAGGATGAAAAGAAGTTTAAGAGTGCGACAATCTGTCACAGAAAATTGAACTGGGAATCTGAAAAAAATTACCCAGTTCGAGATCATGACTACTTGAAGAAAGAGAATAACTTTAGAGGTGCAGCATGCAATTCCTGCAACATAAACTATTTCGATAAAGGTTGCAGCATTTGTGCTTAAGCTAAAAGGATATGATCTCAACCTCTTCCTACTAGATTTGACAAAACGAGTCGAGAGATTGGACGTGCTCCCTGAGACGCTTGAAAAGTTCAAAGCTGTTTTTACTGACAACTTTATTTTCTTGGACAGCTTTGCATTTCTTTCTACTTCCCTTGGTAGGTTGGTATCAAATATTAAAAAAGTCAGGTATCGAAAAGTTCAAGCAATTAAAAGAAGAGTTCCCAGAAAACTACAAACTGCTGTCAGAAAAAAGGTGTCTATTTCTATGATTATGCTTCATCTTTCTCAGTTTCCATCGTGGTTTAAATATATATGAGGGGTGTAAGAGGCAGACTCATGTTACACTGGTGTGTCATATGGTGGGACATGGTACTTTAACCTAATCCTGCTCGTTTTGCATTACACAAATGTAATCACGTGACTAGATACAGTCAAAGCAGATCTGAAGGGTTAAAGCAGTCTTAATCTCATTCTAATAATTGATGTAATCACGTGACTAGATAAAATTAAAACACATTTGAAGGGTAAAAGCAGCATTATATAACATTCTATTAATTGATGCAATCATGTGGCTAGATAGGGGTTACAGCACGTCTGAAGGGTTAAAGCAGTCTTATATCACATTCAAATATTTGATGTAATCACGTGTCAAGCTGAATGTGTTTGCACTGAAACAAGATCCAGGCACATTGACGATAAGACTAGAATTATTCCATATTAGGACATGTCTGGCATCATGTGACTAATCACGTGACAGGCTGTATACGTTAAGGTATAATGATAGGATAACTGTGTGGGTCACATGACCTGGGTCAAGCCATGAGTCATGATGTGAGATGACACTACACCACGTGAGATGAGACCACTCCATGTGGCAGTGTGTGAGGTGATGAGACAGCACGTGAGATGAGTCACACCACGTGGTATGATTTATCCCCCTGGTGCAAGCAAGGGAGCAGTAACCACGTGAGATGAGATCACATCACGTGACAGTATGTGAGGTGATGACATACCACGTGAGATGAACCACGTCACACCACGTGAGATGATGTCACATCATGTGACAGGATTTGAGGATGCATTGCACCACGTTACACCACGTGAGATGACGTCACACCACTTCAAGCCGTGTGGGATGACGTCACGGATGGCATGCCGGCCGGAAGCGGTAGTTCAACCTCCTGGGAGCCATCTTCTTTCTTATACACACCCCTATTATTCTACTTACTGTCATAACAACGAATAAAATTTATTAGAGTTGAGCTATTCCTAGTCCTTGCTATGACAGTATTAAAACTACAATAGTTGTCACGAGATGCTTGCCAGCATTGTGATAGACGCTTTGGCAGTCAATTGTAGCCTACATTTAAGTGTCCGTAGATTCAAAAGTATAAAAGATACAGTCATTTCAAACCACAGGTTTTAAAGATAATTGTTTATGCTTTAGTTTAGATTATTTAAAAAAATAATTTAACGTCATCATCATCACTTGATGACGTCATCAAGTTAAGTGTTTTTAAAACTTGATTTTTGACAAAATAACAACTTTTCAAATCGATTTTAAAGCATTAAGGAGTAATTTTATTCAAAATCTGAGGACATTTTTACCTTAGATAATTGTTCAAGCATTCTGAAAATCTACCGGAAAGTTTTCCTACCTTGCTCCTTCATAAAGATATTCGCTATTGAAGTTTGTGCTTTTTTGAAGAATAATTTTATAAAAGCACAAAATTTGTGAAGTAGTATTCTCTGGTGTTGGGCCATCCCTTGGGTTGTGGAGCTCAATTGTGTTTCCTAAAGGTCTAAATTTTGTTATAGGCTAGTTTTAAAGTTGCAAATCGAATTGCACACGTGGGGACACGCCCAAATTCATTTAAAATAGCTAAAATCACTAAAAATTGTTATTTTCACGATTTTTATCAACTTTGGAGTCCCGTTGTGATCCAAGTTCTTTTTGAAATCTTCTGAAACTTTGCATGCTTATCAAACTATATATAAAATACCACTATGCAAAAATGTACGGTGATTCAATATTGTATGCGCACGCAACGTCCGCTTAAAGTTTGCACGTGCGAAAGGTGAGAATTTTGCCTATTCGTGATTTCGAATATATTCTGATTTCCCACGATATTTAAATAGCATTATGTATGAATTTAATGCCAACTTGAATGAGTGAAAAGTGCCATATTCAGTCTGTTATCGACAGATATGCATACCTAAAACAAGAAAACGTTTTCAAAGGTAAAATTTCGAAATCGTTGAAAATTGAAATTACCTCCTTATTAATGAAGTTTCGACTGTGTATATTATCCTGACATTATCTCTCTGTTCTGGTCAACGGTTTCTGGCCTCTTACTATAAAGAAGGAGGCTCTATCACCGTGCCCACAGAATGCAACTCCTGCTAGCTGCATTCCAGGACTCCCAAAGTATATACGAAATCATAAAATAATAAATATCAATGCAACAGACCTTTGGAGTCTTGAAGCTGTCACTACCTGTCTCAGAGCAAACCCACTTCGGTTGTGGTACTTCGGTGGGCAGACAAGGGACTTCCGAGCAAATCCTGACATTATAATCAAAAAGAGATGATATTTGACCAAAACCCATAATCATGGGTAGAGTGAACCGCTGCCAGTGTCTCTCTTTTCCAAACAAAATAAAATGATATTAATTTGAGGAACCGTCTCAAATGCAAATTGATACCGAGAATGAAATCGGTCGCTCGCTTTTCCCATTCAATAAGCTTTATTACAATCCGTAAGCCGTGAATGAATGGGAAAAGCGAGCGACCGATTTCATTCTCGGTATCAATTTGAATTTGCAGACGGTTCCTCAAATTAATATCATTTTATTTTGTTTGGAAAAGAGAGACACTGGCAGCGGTTCACTCTACCCATGATTATGGGTTTTGGTCAAATTTAAACCTCATAAATAGTAATCAAATTTTGTCGCTGAGGATCCAAAAAAGAATCATAATAAAGTATCATAGTATAAGTTATGATTTGTTCAAAGATCAAATAGATACTATTAGCACCTAAAATTGAAATGGTTGACTTACCGTGCCCTCAGTGTTTTCCATCCATGGAATCATGTATTTAATTGTCTCAGTAAACTTGATCTTGATGGCGTTCAAGTTATTTTCGTTCGTTGCAGCGAGACCCTGTCCAGAGCCTGGGAATGGGGAAGCAATTAAATAATTAAACTTAATAGATATTAGTATTATGCCTAAGTTAACTACGTCAATGTGAAACAAATTACGTAATAATAAAAAGAAAATCCAAAGTTGCATCTTACTCAGTTCAACAAATTTAGCATCCACTTCAGTGCTGGTTTCAGAGGATATCACATCAACAGGAGACTGATTCTTGGACTCCTCTTTGTTACACACTCCTCCCCATTCGCCCTGTGTGTCGTAGTCTATTACGTCGCCACTGCTGTAAACCACAGCTACCAGAAACACGGTTACCGCTGCTTTTAACATTTCGTCTGAAGTGCTAATTTATGGATTTATTTGTAACTGATTTATCGAAAATGGTAAAGTTCTTATTTAATGTTATACCGTGGTAGCAAGTTATTTCTTAAATGGGATAAATAACAAATGTAAACGCACCAGTCCCACACTGCAAGTGCAAAGTCACTACAAACAATTATAATGACCGTGCTACAGTAAATATCTAGCAATTGAAAACAAAGAAGATTTGCGAGTATTAAAATTAGAGGCAGTTTGATGGCAACGCCTATTGATTGCTAACAATCGTGATGATTTTCATAATTTGCATTTTGGAAACAAGCAACTTCCACAACTTTACTTGTCAAAGGAATATCATTGCTGATTGCTTGCCGGAGGAAAATTTTGTATATAAATAAGGGCACGTTTCTAAAAGTAAAGATATCCTCGGTGTGTACCGAGCGACGTTCGGACAGTAGGATAACAACTCAAATATGAATCAGCAGCTCACGTGCAGCTCACGTGCAGCTCACGTGCATTTAACACTTGTACATCACGTGTTGATCTACAAGATCTTGTAGGTTGATCTTGTAGATTAAAGTTTAATAGAGTCACACGTTAGACGTTAGTCTTCGGTATTGAGTTTGCTTAATTGAGATGAACAAATAAAAAACTGGGAAATTCCAGCTTCTGTTTAACAAATCCACTTTGCAAGGTTTAATTCAATTTTTCAATACCAGGAACGACTTAAATACTAAAGTTAATTCCTTAAATTAACTTTTAAGGATGTCACCAAGAGATCCAAAGGATCCAAAAGAACGAAAAGATATCATACAATGAAATAGACTGACTAATGAAATAGAGGAAGAATTGAGTACGTCAGAAATTTTATCGCTGATGATCCAGCTTATTGATTTATAGCTAACTTAGCTAACATGGTACAAATATACTTTCGTAGGAAATTTTAAAGTTATCTTTGATTCAAGATGTGATCGAGAATCCAGATTGCTGGTGGCAGCTACAGGTAGAGCAGAAGGTATCATTCAGAGGTTGTTAGAAAGAGCTAGAATTAAAACGGGCTGGTGGCAGTGGCGTAACGTTGCCTGTTGGCACCCCGCCGATAATGCGCCCCCCTGTTGGCGCCCCTCCCTATAATTTAACAAATTAGGTGATTTTAGAGGATACGCCGGTAAAATCTCTTAAAAAGCTGGGTAGCTGGGTAGATATGGCGCTTGGTTGGGGGTAGCAGAATGTAGATAGAACTAGAGGTAGAGTTCCAGACTGGAACTCTAGTTCGCTATGTATGAGGTTATATTGGAGATGGTTAGTCATAATAATTGGAGAGAGCCCAGCTTGTGGTAACTGGTAGCTATAAGCAGATGGTTAGATGTTTAAAGTTTGAAATTGAAGCAGTTTGAAGTAACTTGAGGGAAATGAGATAGTTAAATAGTTTTGAGGAGGATCTGAATAGAGATTTTGCAATCATGTTAAACTTGGAAGTTTTATGGCATGCGATGCTCCATAATTATAAATTTATTTACACTAGCAGAAACAGTGGCGTAACATTACCATGTTGGCCCCCCCCCCCCCCCTGGACCGAAAAAGCGCCCCCCTGTTGGTGCTCCCTCCCCTTTTGGTGCCCCTCCCTAAAATTGGGGGGGGGGGGGGGGCCAACCATATTAAAGTATATTAAAATGTAGGATTTTTCCCGATTTTGACCCGGGGATATACTTTAATATACTTTAATATACCTACAATAGACTTTAATATCCCTATCTCCTTGGAGGCCTACTTCAAAAATTGTTGCCCAAAATAAGCTTGAAATGCAATTCTTAATCTATTCCAAAAAGTTCTTGAAAAAATATTGAAAACTGATGGAGTTATTTCAATTTTAATTTTTTTTGGCTAGTATTCCGAACCGAGATATTATGTGCAATTTTCCCAATTTTGTTCATGGAGGTCTTTTTACTTAGTATCCACTATATTCAACAAACACTGAGTTATATCTTTCACATAGTAGAGTTAGTCTCATTAAAAAATATTGAAATTTTATCGAATTTGGTCAAAAGCGAATTTGGGCAAAAGCGTATGCCCAAATATGGGCATACTTTTTAAAGCTCATAGCTCAGCCAATTTTTGACCAATCTGGATGGAAATTCATGTACTAGTCCTAAAACAGGCTTATCTTGCGAATCTGAGTGAAGAATATAGTTCATCATGTAAATCTTAACGAAGAATATAAATCTTCTAATTGTAGGTATATTAAAGTATATTAAAATGTAGGATTTTTTCCGATTTTGACCCGGGGATATACTTTAATATACTTTAATATGGTTGCCCCCCCCCCCCCCCAAATTGAACAAATTAGGTGATTTTAGAGGATACACCGGTAAAATCTCTAAAAAAGTGTGTATCTAGAGAAAACGCGCAGTTTTGCTAATACTTTTGTTAAGTTTTCGAAATTGTCCCACATTCAAACGACGATTTGGCGCCCCCCTAAGACGGCCCCTTTTCTGAATTTGCTTCAATTTCAAAAGGAAGCATTTTAAGCCTTCAAACGTTCACAGTGCCTGCAATTTAAACATGTGTATTGCAGTCATTTCAAGCCCAAGTTTAAGTCTCTAAGCCCTTACAAATCTCCCACATACGCGCCTAATATGAAATATGGGCGTGGTCCCACTCCCACAGGGTTGAAACACAACATGCGACCCTCAGTGATTTGTGTTACCAATGACCTATTAAACCCGATTCAGCAGCAAAAAACTCTTTGCAGCGAAGTGCACACACAACGCCTCCCTGCTTTTGGAGTATTAGGGCTTAGTCGAGGAAGAGCTAAGCTACTGCTAGCATGACTCATGAACTTGAAGTGAAAGTGGCGATCATATAACTAATTCACGGAAAAAAGTGCGCCGCATTTGTTTATGTTCACCGAATAGGCCGAACGATGGCAGACCACAATGTGCAATGTAAACATACGTTGGGCGGTACCCTGAATTGCGGGGGGCGACAAGGTGAATGGGTATTTTATGTTTGTTTAACTTTGATGGTGCGTACAATTTCCTGATAAAATCCACATCAACTATATTATTATCAGTTTGAACTTTGAGAGAGCTGTGTGGTGATGTATCTACACAAAATATAACGGAAAAAAAGGTGTGATATGATTTTTAAAAGCGCCCTCCTCACCAGAGTTATTCCACTATGCACTCAATGCAGGACTCTCCTACTTGCTACTCAATTTCAAGATTTTGAGTATCTAAAATCTAAATACACTGTTTGGTACAGTGGAACACCACTCACTGCAGGGTGTATTCTGTAAAAGCGATAGTCATGTCTGTTACTCGGTAATCTGCAGCGTCAAAACACGGGAGGGGCAAATAAACGTCAGCTACAATGACAAGGTAAATCTCAACGGCTTACAATCAACGAGAGAACTTCAAATATCCCGTTGTGGAGTGACATCCCGTTACAAATGGAAATCGTAACACCAACATTCTCCGCGACAAATCGTGATTTTTGACGTTTTTTCAGATCCTCGCATGTCTGGAAAACTGCAAACATTCACATGACGATGACTTACCCCACTTGAGGAATTGCACGAGAAGATGAACGAAGGAAAATACGAGGAAATAAAATGATATGTTATGAATATGTGTTAGGCATAAGGTTAAAGTTAAAAGTTAATCTGTTAACTGTTATGTGACATTGAATCATGAAATTTGGAACCATGAGAACATTGATTAATTGTTAAAATTTAAGGTTTGTGCGCCAAATCGTCGTTTGAATGTGGGACAATTTTGAAAAAGGAATTAAACAGGAATTAAACATATAATTACCAAGGAGAACACTAACGAACTCGTTTTGGCTATACATCAATTCGTAAATACGTTCAGATATAAAACAAAAGCCGAATAAAAGTATTGAAATGAAATCTTAAAATTTAACCGCGTTACAATATCACGAAGTGGAAATAAAATCAAATATAATAATTTAAATGCTAATAAAAAATCTGGATGTGTGCATAAAGGCAAGTCCAAGGAGATAGGTTAGACTTAGAGACTACGATAAGTTGATGAGACGATGAAGGAGATGAGTAGGGGACGTGAGGCGAGGATTAGGACTTATTCTTAGGATTTCGAAGGTTTGAAGAGTCTGTTAGGTATTTCCCGAATTCTTTTGTGTGACAGGAGTTCATTATGATCGGGAACCGGTCACTGCGGCGGAAGTCACTGCGGCGGTGTACAGTCCGGCGGAGGACGGTACAGCGGAGGACGGTACAGCGGAGGTCGGTACGGCGGTAGTTTCCAAAAAGGTTGGACGGTACGGCGGATCACATGACACCCACTTTACTTTGGACAGTACGGCGGTACTACTATAAACTGTACCTACCTTATCGGACCTTATTTGGACGGACATTACATGAACGGACACAATTATGAACGGACATTAATATGAACGCTCGAAGGCATTCAAAACCATCCAAAATCCGAATTTTTTTCAATATTTTTTGATGTTTTTTAAATTTCAGCAAATGATTTTTAAATCCATTTTTTATACAGTAAGTAAGAAAAGCAGTCATTAAGCAGTAAAAATGTTAAAATATGTGTACATGATCAGTGTCTAATATCACATATCATCTTCATCAAATGGGTTTTCGTGCATGAAATAGTCCATGCTTAAAGCATCAGTGATTTCTAGCTTTATGGAAACCTTTTTTAAAAAAATCAAACTAGCCCGGTCCTGCATTTCAGTGTTAACTTTTACAAGCCATTCGGCGTGAAGTGGTTTTATCTTAGACAACTTAAGGTCAACCTTAACATCACGTGGAGCTTTCCTAGCACTGTTTCATTACCGCCCCCGAGTAATATGAACTATAACAACGTCGGACAATGTCCTTGGCAACACGATTTACCGTAATATCTAGAGGCTGGAACAAGTTTGACATGTTGGCGGGGACTAGTTCATGAACTATGTTGTTGAGTGCCATAATTTCGTTGACTTTTTTCCGCCAAATGACCCTTGAAAACATCATATACTAGTAGTAG